TTTGTAGTGTTGGTTGTGGATATGGTCTGTGATGGTTTGCATTCCATTTTCATTACTGTGTGTGGTGAGGGAGGTGATGGTTTTGTGTTTGACGATTTTGAATGTGGTCAGGTTGAAGATATTGGATGGATGTAACGGAAGCAGCAGACTAGAAAATTGAATTTGGACTTGTGTTCCTTTGTTCAAGCCTCAGTTTCTTGCTTGGCAAAAATGGGAAAAGTCATGAGTGATGTAGGAACGGGCCTATTGATAACTGTGCACTTTGTGTCAGGTTGGATGTTTATTGGTATTGTGTCTTGTTGGTTATTTATGCTGCGTCTCTCTTCTGTCCAGCAAACTGGCATCCATTATGTTAGAGGCAATTTTCTCAGTGAGAAAAAAAAGTCCAAGAGAAATTTGCAGCAATTACATTACAACATGAGGACCACTTCACCTCAGAAAGTGCAGCCTAGCTAACCGGTTGATAGACGATTCTTTCAACAACTTGCCAATTTATTCCCCCCTGCACGATTTCTGCCTTGTTGTGCGGACCCTCGTCATCGCCAGCAAAGTGGTTTATGCAGAAATCCTGCAAACATACACAAAATGCTGCCGACTCCATTAAAACTTGTGTCTCGTAATATCACAGCCCTGCCCCCTATGTGGGCCATCAGGCATACATGTAATTTCTCTGTAAATAAACACAGGGACAGCATCGTCCAGCCGGGGGAAATCGGACTGAATTTAGATGCAAATGCTCAGTCCAATGGAAAAGGACTAAACTGTGTCATCAGCTCAGTAAAGTGGGTGCTAGTTTGCCTGCTAGACTTAATTAAAACTTATACACCAGGCTGCCGGGGGTAATAAATTCCCCGCCACCTGGTCGACACTGTCATATTTCAAAGATGGAAATTGTACAACCAGGCCTAGTGTTTCACATGAGTTAATGTGATCGTATGGGAGTTGACACCCAACACACCAAACTCTGTTGGATGAAGGCTGCAGGGCCCAGCAATCCCGGGTCAGATATCAGTGTCTTTGGATGCTTGTGTTTTGTGGGTCTATCTTATGTTTCCTAGGAGATATTTGACCAAAATTACCATTGGAGTAGGACTGCGTTCGCCAAACAGTCAATAAAATGATCCATTTATGTTTGGCTTGTTCTGAAAATATAAATTTGAAATTAACCTGTATCTTGGTATTCAAGTTGCAGTTGAATTCTCTAGAACTTCTTGTCATGCTGATATGCCAACTAATTGTATTGTTTCTGGGCATTCCTCCTCAGATTCTGCTGTCAACATGGGTTTGTATGTCTTGTCACGAGCACTTTATTTGTAGGTTAAGACATGAAACTGCTGCATGCAAGCAGCCATCTTAATTAATTTCCCCATGTTGCTTTTATTTCAAGGGGAAGGAAGAGCAGCTTGATTTGTCTCCAGTTCATCTCCAATGGGGCTGCTAATGATCTCCGTCTCTGTTTCTATTAGTCGGCTCCGCCAAATTTTTTTCCCCTTCCTTGCCAGAGTCAATTCCGCACGACCAGGCTTTGCATCTTGATAAAAGCAGAAGCGTCGTAGTGGGGTGGGTATGCATTCAGCTTGATAACATAACACCAGTCTTGGGCAGCTGACATTTCTATCTAGCCTGCTCTACAGTCCCTCTCCCCCCCATCTTTCTCTTTGATTTCATTACACACAACTCGGGCCCCTCAAAAGCCAGTACTTCTGTAAGGCAGCAAGGTAACTATATGCCGTTGATCGACACAAGCGATTGGTTTCATTATCCAATTTCAGGATGAGTTCGTCCGGAAAGCTGGCAACATCTATTCCTCTTGACCTAGCCCTCCAAAAATAAGAAGGCTAATAGACAGATTTTGTTCATACCCTTCCAATGTTTATAAACCAATCAGACTTTTTTTTAGGTTAGGTTCGGTGGCTCCTGTTCCATAACTGGTGAAAGCTTTATTCTAGGGAATTGCTAGTGGCAATATTCTGAAGCCAAATTAATTTCACATTGAGGTCTTTGACTGTCCTTTTTCATTTCTTTGGCAACTGCCATACAATAACCTTGCATAGAAAAACCTTAGGGTGTTTTCATTGTGCTAGAAGGACTTGTGTTTATTTTTTTATTGAAATGGAAGTGGATGGAATGAATTTTGAAAAGGAAATTTTTTGAAGTGAATAGGGCTTTTAGTTTTGGAGTCAACACACTCTGTGAAGTTAATCATTTCTGTTGACACTGTCATCAGTTTTCCTTTCAAAGTGTCCACACAGGTCATGTTTACTGTACATAAAGAAGTAAATATTTTTCTGCCCAGTGCTACATAGGATACACCAACCCGAGACTCTTTAACCAAGTTTCAAAACATCCTCAATGAAATATGTTCCACTGAAAACAACTTTATCAATTTCAAATTCCCCATAGCTTTTATGCTTCATATTGTCATTAATCAAACGTTTCATCTACAACTTCAGCTGAATAATCTACTAATAAATGCATGTAGTATTGATTTCACTTTCAATTTGCATCTGTGTTCATCAACTGAGACTTTTTTGTAAGAGCCTGAATGTAGACAGGCAGTGAGATAGGGAATGTGGCTTTCAGGAAACGAAACAGGTTTTGTTTTAGTCTGTTGTAATTTTCTGGAATTGATTTGTCTGATTCTTCTTGGAACTTTGAATGGTACATAAACTAACTTTCCACTGGTTCACAAATTTTCTTTTAGGTCTTTTAAATACTTTAACTTACGAGAGATTCCATTTCCATGGTTCTGAAATTTCATATATATTTTTAACTGAAATTGAATTGTCAAGCATCTACTTGATCTCATTTTATCCTCGTTTTTATGGTCTCCTGTCCTGGAATAATTATTGCTGTCTTTGTTGAGGCGTAACCAGCCCAGCTGTGATCCACGTCCAGTGCAATTTTCCAGGTGGGATGTAATTAAAAAGTCCCAGCCATGGGTCGGGGAGAGTTCAGTGCCTGGCCAGAGGCTGTGGCACCAGTAGGGGTAAGGAGAACCCTGCCAGGCCGACTTTGAACCTGAAAACAATGAGGTCTTGCCAGGGATGACCACCATCACAACTTCATGGCCGTCTTGGTTAACTGGAAACATAAGCTAAGCAATGAGTCCATCATTGGGTACATCAGCACTCTTTGGAATAAAAGTAGCTCCCAATCAACCATGCCCCGAGTGACAGATACCGGTACCTATTTGATGAAGCTCCAGTATGACACATCAGAAGTCTGGTATTGAAATCCTTTCTCTTTGTTTATCCATCAAGATTTCAGGTGAAGTCTTGAGGTTGTTTATACATGTTGCAGGTGGCTGGATGGGATTGTTACTTCAAACAGTGGTATTTCTGTATGAGTACAATGTAACTGTCTGTTGCTGCAGTATGGAAGATGAGTTGGTAGATAATTTACTTCCATAAGGTCTTTTGTGTTATGTCTTCCAGGAATCTAATAGTTGTCGTCTGATTTTTCATGGAGAACTGTTTGATGGGAGAGCTTACTTGGAAACTTGATATTTGAGAGTTGAGAGATTGATAATAGTACCGTGAAAACATACCGGTATAAGTATGGAAATCTGCACATGCACCTATCTGGCTCTGAGTTCCACCGATTGCTATGTGCATGTAGCTGCTGCACTTTATAATGCCCAAGGAGCAGAGATTGACTGAATGCATACCAAGTTAACCAGGTGGATAAAAGGTCAGGCGTATTGTGTTCAGGTCATTCGATGTAGCCTTATAACCCAGGCAGCAATTTCAATCAAAACCAATCAGAGACCTAGGCAGGGTGATCGTTACGCCGTCGCGCCATCAAAAGCGCAACACCGCATCTCATTGCACAACCTGAACACCGCCGCGGCAATTTATGCATTTTATTGAATGTCGGCCCCCCTCGGTTGCCACATCCGTGCACCCCTCTGTCGCACCGACAAGATCACTTTCATATCAGTGTCTCTCAAAATTAGATTGGCTCAAATTGGACGTGACAGAGAAAGGGCCCTGTCGAATTAGGGTGTCGTGCTGGCTTGGGCCGGGCTGCCGCGGGCCCCACCGCTGTCATCTCTGGAAATTCAACGCCAGACGCACAGCATGGGTCTGGCGCCAAGACCAGCAAGGGGGCACGGGGCATGATTAGCCTAAGCAAACATGTAAATACTAAACGTCACAGGTCAAGCCAGGGCAAAGTGCATCTGATGCTAGCATTGACTCCCCCCAAATACTTTCCAAAGCAGATAAACCCCTCTACTGTCTTCAGACACATGGCTGGTATTAGTTACACGTGTAAACAAAGACTATCTAGACTGACAGATTCTTTCTTCTTGAATAAACCAGCAGAGTGCTCCTCATCCTAAGGACATGTTTGTTTATGAGGATAAACTGCTCACACCAACCTTAGAGCTAGGGAGTAACTTGGTAGTCCCCTGTAGCCTCCCCCTAAGGGTGAAAACTCCCACCAGTCCCTGCAAGCTTCTCTCAGTGCACAGCTCTCCCAAGAGGGGCCCAGGTCAGCTTGTGTTCCCCTCTCCATGTATGTCTGATCCAGCCTAGATTGACAAGCATCTCCAAGTGTATGCAAGCTGGCTCAGGACTCCCCCCTTGCCTGCCTCCAGTCCTTTGTTTTTAATGAGTGACAGTATCTCTTACCCAACTCGATAGTGCCAATTACAAGTCCTAAGAGGAATTTTTTTATCAACAGTTTCTGTTTTCCAGGGTGCCCTTTTACAAGTATTAAGTGTCTTTTGAAAGGTTGAAGATAAGGTAGGAATTTGTAAGACCTTGCAGTCTAAGATTCTATGGTTCTGGATTAAAAAAGGTAGGTTTGTTTTCATTGATACCTGGCGAGCATTCTCTGTTGTGAATGTTACTTGTTACTTTGCTGTTAGACAGCCAAGTTGGTTTCTTAATCCTTTTTTTGGCAAGGCACATCGACCACATCTTTCGACGGTATGAATGTATATTCAATGTACATGTATTTATGAATTCTTTATTTTTATTGGTTTATTGCAGGTCTTGGCATACACAGAGGGTCTCCATGGACGATGGCACTTCAACGACATTCGAGCAGTATTCTCCAGACGCTATCTCCTGCAGAATACTGCAGTGGAGATATTCCTGGCAAACAGGAGTAAGTTGGTTGTATTTTATTCCTGTCAAACTTGTTCACAAAGCTCAACTTGCTCTGCGTACTGGACCTTAAAGATACATGCACATGTAGGCTTCTTGAAACAGCTTCTTAAGAGAGGCATTCTGGTGGTGGTGTTGTTATCATTTGGAGGACTCGCTCAGCTTCAAGACTCATCATCATACCCATAAAGTAACACCTTATCCATTTGATCTCATGCAAAGAGAAAGAATAAATAATAACAATAATTGACATTTTATAAAGCGCCCAATCCATCAGGCTGCTCCCAGGCGCTGTACATCAAAATATAAATAAATAAATAAAACCTACATATACCAGTCTTAAAACTCTCCACATTCCTAGACTCTCTAAGATGAACTTCAAGCTTCAAAGGCAAGTGAGCCCATGTGATAAGACACAGAATACAGCTTGCAGTTGGATTCGAACCCTTGACCCTTTGATTATCAGTCACACATCACAACACTTTTCTATACTCCCAAAAGTTAACCCGATCAAGACAATGTATTCTGGACATGTTTTGCCTTGCCAATTTGTTTGACTGCAGCATCGGTGATGTTCAATCTGCCCAACAAGGCTACAGTCAAGAAAGTGGTTCATGCCTTACCGAGAGTTGGCGTGGGTCTCAAGTACGGCATTCCTCCCTCTAGGTGAGTCTACATCTGGATTCATTTTTCAGATCTAATCATGATCTTAAGTAGCTGTAGATGGCTGGTTGTGATTATGAAATAATTGTCCGAACTGATTGTCAAGATTCCATGTAATACAGCCCACAACAGGTGTTCCTCCAACCACAACTCTTGTGGTCAAAATTATGACCTCCATGTTTGAGCACACCCTTGGCAGTGAACTATTGAATAAAAGATAACTGTCATTGAGTAGCATGTTCTTGGTACAGAATATGTACATGAAAGTGCTTGCAAACCACCTATTGAGCATGGTTCCTAGCCTCTGCTGTTGAAGTTTATAATGTAACTTTCACCATGGCAGTTAGTTTCACACAAACTGAGTGTAGCCTGAATAAGGTCATCACTATAGTGATTGTTTCCTCCTTGTAACATTACTGCATGACTTCTGTATCAGGCGTGTGTCTTTGGCAACTCCCCGTCAACTCTTCAAGGCATCCAACATGACCCAAGCCTGGCAGAGAAGGGAGATCACCAACTTTGAGTATCTGATGTACCTCAATACAATAGCTGGTAAGCTGGCTGGCTCATCAAAATAACTAGACTTTCATGTCTGTCGGTTGCTTCACTGTAGAGACCTGTGTCTGAAAGTAAAGTAAATTTGTTATAGCCCCGCTTTTTGTTAATTTCCCTCTTCAAATTGCTGTTTCATGTATTGTTGCATAGCATTTTCTGGTTTCATTTTTAAAAGCTCTTTTCTTATCTGAAATTATTTTCACACTCAAAGATGTTGTGTTCATGAATCATGTCCTTTACAGCAGTGGTGCTTATCTAAACGCTGTGACTGTTCTCTTGTGTTTATCTACGCCCCTCTGAGACCTAAATGAATACATCTTTGGTCTTATTTAGTGACAGCTTTATGGTCTGCATCATTCCAGTCAGTGTTATTTAGTTTGAATCAACCCTCCCATCCAGGGAGCTAATTCAGCATTGTGAGATATCACTATGTTGAAATTGCGTCAGGAGATTGGGTGTTTATATTGCTTCATTTACCACCGATGCAAGGATAAACATCTTTAAGTGCTTTATTATGGCTGCCGATATCTTGGTTTTACACTGAGCGTTGAGCTGGGTATAAATTACTAGATCACAAACTCCCACAATTTTGGAGCTGCATATAAGGTGCACAAGCGAGAGTATGGAGGCAAGCAGTGTTCTATCTCGTTTTTTTGCCCAAACTTATGTTTACCTTTGTTCTGAGTCTTTTTGATCAATTCTGCCTGACTGTTGTTCTGTTGTTTTGGCAGCTATTTTGTTTTTCACGTGACAAGCGCCGTTTGACAACTGCTTAATTTGAACTTTGATGCTCTATAGGGCATCCCGCTGTAATTTTTTGTCAGTTTTTGAATTTCTGTAAGTTTTATAATTGTATTTTTAATGTGAAATCCCAAATTGCAATCATTTTTAGGGTTACATCAGCTGGTAACAAAGTTATTATGAACGCTAGTGTCATCAGTTAATGTTCCTTGCTCTGAAGATGAAATCATTAGACCTTTTCTTCTATCTTTAGAATATTGGGCTTTCATGAACCTATCATTTAGTGGTGCCAAAAAAAAACACATAGGGCATCCCCAGTGTCGTTTTGTGTAAGTGCACTGAGTTGTAGATAATGTGTTTGGACGTTGTTTTAATGAGCTGTACTCATGCTGCAGAAGGGTAATTAAGTGCTGTAGTACAGGAACTAAGCTCTTGTAATCACGTTTGTGTCCTGGAGTCATTGATGATGTCAACAAAACGGTCTTGTGTGTAATAAAACAAGGGCATCTGGAGTGAGGGGCACATGTTTCAGTGCAACTTCAGCTTTGTCTTGCCTTTCGTTTCCAATGATACCTTAGAACCTCTGAAAGTAAGATAGAGATAATACACCAAAGTTTACTTAAAGGAGTGAAGAGAAAGCAGTGAGGGAAATGTACAGTACTAGATGTGGTTGGAGAACCTTTCAAAGTTAATTGTGAGGCAGACTTGCGTAAATATAGATTGACAATCCAGTGGTCTTAGTGTGCAAGGTGGGATTTGCATCAGGTTCACTTGAGAGATAAAAGGTGAAGCAAGTAACCCAAGTCTGACCTCTTTCTTGTTCTGTCCCTCTCAGGCCGTAGCTACAATGATCTGAACCAGTACCCAATCTTCCCCTGGGTACTCACCAACTATGATGCGGAAGAGCTTGACCTGACCCTGCCCAGCAACTACAGAGATCTTTCAAAGGTTGGTCATGCAAGACTTGCTTTAGGTGTGATTGATTGTAACTTCAGATAAATACAGATGCTTCAACTGGTACGTGTACTGCAGTTGGGAACAATGTTTTACATCTAATCAGAAGAGGGCCTGTTCTTTTCACATCGCAGTCGTATTTTCCAACAAAGTGGCTGCTAAAACTATAGTTGGCCAGTCAGTACAAGAGTAAAAGAATAATTCGCAAAAAGTTAAAAAATTCCATGCAGGTAGCAGAACACTACTAAATCCTAAATGAAAATATTTAAAATTTAATGACAGATATCCACTTTAAATGAACTAGAGGTAAAATGAAAGATGATTTCTGCAAACTTTGGCCACCCACACAAGTTGTAGGTAAAATGAAAGTGGTCTATGGGTTTAGCAGGTGTTAAGTTTACTGTGGGTGCCAGCCTGTTGTAAGGATTTGGCAGTATTCCTTCATTGATGTAAATAATAAAACTTTCACAAACATTTTTTTGAGTATTGATCCAACTGTGTACATTTATCTTTGGCAGCCTGTAGGTGCACTAAATCCAAGCAGACGAGCTTTCTTTCAGGAGCGCTATGAGAACTGGGAGGATGACAAAGTTCCGCCGTTCCACTTTGGCACCCACTACTCCACCATGGCCTTCACACTGAACTGGCTTATGAGAATGGTGAGTGTATCTCTTCGCCATTATAGCTGTGATCATTCCATATTGCTATAGCATGGATTTTGAGGCTATGGCATCATCCTGTGACTGTGGTATTCGCTTCAGCTATGGCGCTTACTTTTGTTGTGGTTGCCACGCATAACGATGAAAAATAACCCCTCTTCTATCAATCAGGAAAAACACAAGGTCTTTGAGACATGCATCAAATCAAACGTTAAGTAATTTAAATCCAACGTCGTCCGGAAGAAATGCTCCATCTACAAGTAGGCCTGAAGTCTGTAGCCATTTTGAAAATAATGCCTCCTCTCTGTGGCAAGGCAGATCACTTGAATGGCCCAATTTCATCCAGATTTCATAAAGACAGTCCTGTCCACAAGAAGGAAAGAGGCTGTGGACAGGACTGCCTCTGTTAGATTGGGAGGAAACTAGGCCTTTCTCTTCTTTTTGACAAAAGGTTTGTGGGCCACTAAAAGCAGAGCTTTTGAGGGTGTGCAAATTGTGCGTTGGTTGGCATATATGTTGATTTGGGCCCATTCACCTGATGGGTGTGGCATTCACTATGACTGCAATTCCCTCAATAAGTGTAGTAATAGTCTAGGACCTTTTGGGGTTAATTCACGTCTTCACAGTGGCAACCATGCCGCGGCCAACTTTCTGATTTCTTCATTTTTGTTCATGACCTACTTATGACTCATGAACATTATCCAGTTGACATTATCCTCCCATGAAAGCATTGTGGTTGGCATTCAATCCACTAAAGATTGTGTTGCTAGTGTGACTTCTCTGTAACATTCATGACTGAAATGTTACAGGACAGCTAACGAGTCAGACCTAACTTTTGGGGGGTTAAGTATCAATTTTTCAGAGCATGATGACACTCGTTGCTTTAAATCGAGAATTGCAATTGACAAACTTGGCAACTTTTTCAAGTTTTTTTAGTTTAATCATCAGAATCGTGTCTGAGTGAGTCATTTGCCAGGTGTTGAGCATTAAATTTGGCAGGTTATAACCTCATATAATGTCAAGAATAATTTGACTGTATACATCTTGTCTGCCTCCTTCACCCACCCAAAGGAAAGAAGTTATTTGCAGAAGTGTCGAAACTTTCCCCATTTAAAAAAAATATATATATTTTCCAATAATGATGTTAAGCACCTTGATTCTGAAATTGGCCTAATTTTCACTATCTTTGTCTGTTTCCAGGAGCCCTATACCACTTACTTCTTGAACCTACAGGGAGGTAAATTTGACCATGCCTCGAGGAGCTTTGCCTCTGTCTACATCTCCTGGAAGAACTGCCAGAGAGACACCTCAGATGTCAAGGTAGAGGAAGCACGCTGAACTATGATTTCTTTTCAGTTGTTCATCATATGTACACCATTTGCAGTTGTTTGTTATCAAAAACTGTGAGAGTACAAGTTATTCACAGTTAGGATTGCCTTCTGTACTTCTGTTTTTAACCATTTTTTAACCTTTAAATGCCATGTAACCTAAAAATGCTCCTCCAGTTTTGGAAAATTTGTATCCAAATTGCACAAAGCCTCTCAAAGAAAAAAATTTCTTGAAAGGACACGTTGATGTTTGCAGCGGTTTGGCAGTGGGAGGGGGGAATGAATTGACCCCCTTCAGTTTGTACAGAGTTAATGTTGTCTTACTTCTGGTAACCTTCACAGGGAACATTTTCTCCGTGGTATTTTACTCTCTCTAGTAACCTTTCCTTGTTGGTCAATATTTATTCCAAAGCTTTTCTCAAGAAAAATGCCCTCGTTAAAACTCAGAGTTTGAGGATGATTTGTTTTATCTGCATAAGCACCTTATTGGAGCTTTTATTGACACTTTTTCTTGTGTGTGAATCCCATTGTAGGAGTTGATTCCGGAGTTCTATTACCTTCCTGAGATGTTTATAAATAGCAACGACTACACGCTTGGAAATATGCCAGATGATGGAGCAGAAGTGGGTGATGTTGTCCTCCCCAGGTGGGCCAAGACGGCAGAAGAGTTTGTCAGAATAAACAGGCTGGTAAGATGCTGTCACTTATTTCATCTTGTGCTGCTGATGTACATTCTTTGTAATGGATTCACGTTTCAGTAAGATGTTGCTGTAATATTAATATTGCAAGTTCAGGGTTCTCCAAAAGCCTGCAAGGAAAGTAGACGGAACTTGTATCTAACACGTGCAGGTGTCTTGTTTCCAGCAGAATAGCTGATGATATTTACTTTGTTCTGCCCTAGCAGACCAACAGGTTTTTGAGCTGTGTCTTCAAGGCTTAGCTTTGAGTTCTGGGAGAGAATGACAAATTGATTTTAGAAGAGAACAAACACTTTATCCAAGAAACCTAGACAAAAAGGACTTCAAACCCATTGCACTCAATAGCACTGGCAGAAATTGAATGAGGCATCTGAAAGGAGAACTGTCATTTTTAAGAGTTTTAATCAATACTAATATGTGGTTTATTGTTTTACTAAATCTGCACAGGCTCTGGAGTCAGAATTTGTCTCCTGTCAAATCCACCAATGGATCGATCTGATCTTTGGCTACAAGCAACGAGGGCCAGAGGCTGTGCGAGCCACCAACGTCTTCTACTACCTGACCTACGAGGGCAGCATCAACTTGGAAACAATTGAGGATCCTGTCATGAGAGAGGTGGGACCTGGGGAAATCCTAACACTAGAGGGGGTGCTTTGACTTGTAGGACCTGTAGATCATTCAGAAGACGGAGTCCTCTGTCGGGGGAAAAGAGTATGTTCATTGGTTCTTATCCTCGTTTTGATTTCAGGCTATCGAGAACCAGATTCGAAGCTTTGGCCAGACACCGGCCCAGCTCTTAACAGAGCCCCACCCTCCTCGTAGCTCAGCCATGCATTTAGTGAGTATGACTCTGTGTAACCACTTGATACATTGGCAGAAAGTGTCTTGCTTTTCTTTACATTGTGGTTATGGAAAATATAACAGCGTGTTCAGTGCCTTCATTGCTTAATTTGCTTCTTTAATGCAGGAAAATGCAAAGGATAATGTTTGGACAGCAAGTATGTATTTAACTCAAGTAAGTCACTTGTGGCCCTTTGTTTACCTTGGAATTAGAGTTGCTCATGATTTAAAATCTTTTTCATCCACAGAGTCCCATGATGTATTCTGACCAGCTCTCCCAAGATGTTCTCATGATCATCAAATTCCTCTCCAACTCCCCTGTCATTCATGTCTCCGCCCACACCCACCCCAATGTGCCCATCCCTGCCATCGTCACGGCGGCAGCCAATCAGACCTTTGCAATGAATAAGTGGAACAACCAGGTAGCGACAGCAGGTAGGAATGCAGGTGTGTTCAGTGGTTTGGCTCTCTTTTCTTTTTTGCTCATTCCTTCTGGTTTAGTTTGTATTAGGTTTTGTGATGCACTACTTTCTTTCACCGTGTTTCTCTTGAGTTTTAAAATTGGCTGATGCACCTGCTTTGAGTTTTGAAATGCTTTTTCATTTTGAAAGAACAGTGCCACTTGCGAAAACATACTGAACTATTTGTGTGATTGCTATGTATTACTAAAAATTTGTTTATGTCTTATTTCCATCTGAGGAATGCAAATATTGTCTTGATGTTGGGAAATATTTTTTTCTTTAAAAGATGTTATACATTCTTAAACCAAAGGTTCAAGCTAAAAGGTAACCAATCTTGTTGAGGCTTGTCACTTTTGAAGGGGCACTTTTCAGTGAAATGTGATTTGTGACACCATGATGGTCTCATTTTACAAATGTAAAGTAACTTGTGGCCTTGCTCGCATTAACATCAATGTTTCTGGAATATGTTGTTGCTAGGACAACCGGGTTCCCCTGGATACTCAATGGATGCTGGCAAGAATCTGCTGATTGAGCTGGATCCACTCATCTGTGAGTTGGATTTCTGACGAGAATTCATCTGAAATTTATTCATTAAGCAAACTTTATTTTAAAAAGCAAGCATAGATTCCATCTACTGAAGACGTGCCGTGGTTGTGTATGAATAAATGTAGTAAGTTTCTCTTGAAATTTGCTCTGCCTGTTAGTGTCAACAACGGGCATGCACAGGCGGCAGATAGTGGACACCATGGATTCCAATGTCAAGGCCAAGTCATCATGTTATGTTGTAACAGCTGATAACCGCTACTTGATGGCTTGTGGATTCTGGGATAAAAGCTTCCGAGTCTTTCTCACAGATACATGTAAGTGTTATCAGAGTGAAATGAATTGATGCACTTGTGCCTGCTCAGTGAGGAAAATCCAAGATAGAATGTAAGACACTTGTTTGTATGCATTGTTCTTAAATGTGTGTCCAGCATAATTATCACAGAGATACGTGACAATTCTTAAGCCATTTTTGAAGGGTGTTGGATAAGGAAGGTTTCCTCAAACTCGTAAAAAATTGTCCTTAACGATGAACCTAGTGTAACGGATGCTTGCTAATAATGATTGTCTTCTTGTTCCTTCCACCAGGCAAAGTGACCCAGGTGGTGTATGGTCACTGGGACATGGTGACATGCTTAGTGAGGTCAGAGTGCCCCGTTGGTGGGGACTGTTACATTGTGTCAGGGTCTAGAGATGCTACTCTACTGGTCTGGCATTGGAGTGCCAAGGTGCAGTGGGTGCTTGGGGAGAACCATGTCCTAGGTAAATAGATTGGCACAAACCTTTTTACTTGATGTGCAACACACTGTCTAGAATTGAAAAATTGACAGTTGTAATCAAAGTGAAGGTATTTCAGAACATGTTTTTACATGAGTATGCCTTTCATGAAAGGATTGGTAAAAGGGGATTAACTGAAAGTGGTAGTTTGTACAATTTTATTTGAAAATTTCTCCTACTTGTAGTAGGTCCTGCTGTTTCTAAGTTGAACTGCTACTTGAGCCTTCTATGGACTATCTTAGAAGTATGCCACACTGCACTCCTGAATAGCACCTGATGATAACATCACAACCAGGATTTGCAGATTTCTCTATTTTATTTCTTACATCAGGTGAGATGGCAACCCCCCGAGCAATCCTGACAGGTCATGATACCGAGGTTGTGTGTGCTGCAGTGTGCACAGAGCTTGGCCTGGTTATCAGTGGCTCATTGGGTAAGTAATGACAACCAAAACCCTTATTTATGACATTGGAAATTAAAGGCAACGTGAGTGCCTCATGTCTGACATTTGTTCATTTGTATGCAGATTTCTTTCTCATTTGATCATTGAGGTTATAGAGGGGAATAGTTATGAATAGCCATATGTACTGATGACGTATTACAGTGTTTACCACAATACATTGGTCAGATAGCATAGGGGTCATCGGCGTATACACCGCTATCATAAGCACATGAGTACAATTATCTCTGTAACCACAAGGGAGTTGTTTAGTGTAAGCATCATTTAATGTTCTAGGGACCTAGCTTCCACAAATGGAAACAGTAAGATTGTGCCTTTCACTTACTTTTGATCGAAACATACCTATGCTGCACTGCTGTAAAGACAGTGATGCATCATCATTACAAAGGGCTATTGTAGAGCAGTGTTCATGCTTGTACTTATATTGAAGATCTTTAAGATTTATTCTCTGTAATGCCAATTAAAATGTTCATACGTGAGGGTTATACTAGCCATCTCATACTTGAGTAGGTGACAGTTTCTGATCCCAAGCACATGTGTTCCTGTCTGGCCCATAGGGGGTGCTTGCCTGATCCACACAGTCGCTGGTGACCTGCTACGATCCCTAGACCCCCCTAACCCCAGTATGTCACCCCGCCTGATGTCCATTGCATCCGAGGAAGGGGTCATCCTAGTGAACTTTGACAAAGGTCACGTGTGTTCCTACACCATCAATGGCAAGTTCCTGAAGTCTACAGAAGTGACTGGGACAGTCAATGTAAGTACAGGTTTGGAGTAATGTCTTGAAGCACTGCAACAGGTTTGGAGTAATGTCTTAAAACACTGCAAATATTTATTTACATTCACCCAGCTTGTTTTTTTTTTTTCAACGCAGACAGGAGAAAAAGAAAACTAAATATTAGTAGGGATCAACAGATGTAGATTTTAACTGCCAATCCGATGTCTGATGTTTTAATTAGAACATTGTCCAATTCGATCCGATGTTTTTACCGACAGTAACTGAAACGTAGCCTTAACAGGATGTAGGCCTGTGAACAACACAAAACCAGTGTACTCCCTTAAAATGTCAGTTTACACATTACCGGTAATAGGATTAGGTTTTGCCATCACAGTCTTTGTTGAGAGAATAAACCGTGTAAATTCTGTACATCAATCGCTACTGCGCACCATACCGATGTAACCGATCACACAACCCAAGGGGTGCTTACCCGTACATGTACGTGTACGCACAGAATAGACACAGCACTTCGGGCTGAATCACAGTAGCCTTTAGTCAAGGTACGCGTGGCACTGTTGCACCACTACGTTGGTGTCTTCATCGTGCATGCAACCGGCAGAGGTGCACGTTGTGTGTTCAGGAAGTGTGCCTTGAATAAAGGCTAAATTGCGGGCTACCTCCAGACCGGTCACACACGTCGTGCGTGGTGCCACACATGGTGTAGTTCCCGGGCTAATTTAATGGCTGTCAGTGGAAACGGTATACACGTACACTGACTGCTCCTTTGGGCCGCAGTCCGTGGATTGAGTTGTTGCGGCATGGATCACGCAGCTGTAATTTTCGGGATACTTCACGTGGGTTTAACCATGGTATAACCGCTCATTCATCACACCAAATGAAAAAAACTACAGTTTGTATTCATGCTGAAATAAAAAATATGAGATTTTTGTTTGCCAAAGCTGAGTGCAGTGTTTGCTCCTTTCTCCAAGTTAACATCAACACTCATATTGGCAAAGAAGGTCAAATTATGTTTATCCGATGTTTTGCCGATGTTGCCAGATCGGTTGTCCAATCCGATCATCGGTTGATCCCTAAATATTAGAGACCAACTCTGTTCGATCTGTTACTGGCCTGTGCTTTTTCATAATTCCCCTTCTCTTTGCAGGCAATCCGGTTCAAGCATGAGGGTGACTATTTCCTGACAGGTGGGGACAATCGTCAGGTTCAGGTGTGGCGGACCTTTGATCACAATCTGATGTACTCATTCCCACTGTGTGATGCCTCTATTCTTGCTATAGACATGGCTCATGAACAACGGTAAGGATATTAGTCCCCCCCAACAAAATGGACATTGTTCTTGAAATCAAGTACTGCTTGAATTGTTTTGTGACAGAATAATGCAAACTTGTGTCACTGTCTTGCTGTACTTGAGTTGTACCAATCTATTAAGAAAAGGCTTCTCATCTGGATGGAATCTGTTGTTAGAAACCTGGACAAATATATGCATAAATACAGAAAATTTCCAGTGTTCTTGAATTGTTTTTAGCCTATGTATCTTGTAAAATGGTCATTACTAATGGGCACAATTTCAATACTAGACAATATCTGATATCATGGAGCCAAATCAGTTTGATACAAGAAAGGTGTCAGAGTTGAAGTCAGTGTTAGTGTTAACACAGGCCTCATGTTGTTGGAACAAGTCCCAGATGTCACTTTAAATAGTAGATGATATCATCTTATTTCCCGGAGTATTCTCTGTCCCATTATATAAATGCTTTTTTTTTTACTGTAGTATCTTTTGGGTCATTTTCTGTCTATTGTCACACTGATTGTGTATGCATCTGCCAGTGTATGTAGTATCCTTCATTTCTCTGACAATTTCCTCTCCAACCCCTATTCTTTTGTTGCGTTGCCAAGCTTTTCTTTCCAAACATGTCTTGGTAATTCTTTTGTTTCCTTGATAGACTGAAAAACCATCAAGATAGGTAAATATCTGCAGTTGAGATTTTTAACCTGACATCCTGCCATCTGATTCCCAGAAACATTCATACTCAAATGCATGTTCCATTCCCCCCCCCATATCTTTCTCACTACGCTTCAAGGAAAATGAACCTAGTTCCATGATACTCAGATTGCATGTGCTTCTTGGCATGGCCTGACATTTAGAATGAAGAGATAAAGAAGATTTAGTTTGCCTGAAAACTATGAACATTCTGCAGTGAAAGTGGTTGGATTGGGTCCATACTCCTTGTTAGATGGCGCAGTTTCAGATGGATAGCGCATGCACAATTGCACACTTAATCCTGCATTTGTGACTCATGACTAGTGTTACGTGAATGTGCAGACCGCATTGAATTCTGTGAATTACTAAGCTTTGTGCATTTCATGGACCCTACCTCCATTTGCTCACACATTGACAGCATTGACTACACTCTGATTAGCTTGTTCATCTCCCTCATATGTGACCTGACTTGTCACGACAAAATGAGAGTAATGTCGCATCCTGCTCTTTCCTATTTTAAGGGTTTAAAGTCATACTGATGTGGGGGTCAATTTTTGGGTTTTGTAATACATGTATTTGGAAAGAGTAGCCCATTTGCTATTTAATTCCAAATATTTTGCAGGATCATATATTTAAAAATATCATTTTCTCAGCAATTTTGACAACAGCATAATTCCTGCCAAGTCAGATATGTCGAAACTATGGCCTTGTGCGAAACCGGCTTCCAGAGCTACGGCTAGGTCTATTGTCTACACGTCTCCTTGCATTTCAAATGGAGGGAAGACCTAGACCTAGCTCTAGACAAGAGATTCGGATGCAGCCTACGTCAGGAACAAAGACGCAAAGCTGCCAGAATAATGTTACATTGTCACCTGATACTTTTACCCTAAGTGTTCCGTGTACATACCATTGGACAGTTCCTTTTCTGCTGAATTAAAAAAATACCAGTATCCCAATTTTTGAGATTTCTGACTTTCAGCTCATTTTGTGATGACAGGTCATATACAGTATTTACACTCATTGGGGTTATCTATTGACAAACATGTAATTCTGTCAAGTGGAGCAGGAAAAGTTGGACAGCAAACCAGCAGCGTCAACAATTTTTAAAAACATTTTCAATTAAATAAGAATTCGATTTTTAAAATCTAAATAAGGTTTATGCTCGATTTCAGTAGGATTTTTTTCACTTGAAACCAGTTGCCTTAATTGTCTATTAAAGCAAGCAAATATGTCTGTACCAACATGTAGATTAATTTTCTTGTATTTTTTATTTTTTAATGAAATTAAACAAATTGCATTTTAAATTTAAAAATTCAGTCTAGTAACTTGATTAAAATCACCATATTTACAATAAATAACCACTTTCAGTGTTGTCTAACCCCAGGTGAATACATACAGCATAGCACCTACACATACCTCTAGAAATGTAGACAGTTCCCTTGGAGATAGAGTAAACTGGGTAAAAATGCCCTCTTGACTTAAATCACTGTTTATGAAAAAATTTACTGGATACATTGCTAAATAGAACATACTTCTAATAAGTATTATGCACATAAGTTATTAAAAAAAGCGATGAAATTCACTCACACGATTTGACAATATGGGGGCACAGTTGAAAAAATGTGAAGAGTAAGGTTTTAAAAGGTGATCATCAAAGGGGTAGCAAATGGTGTAGCCCATATCACTTTTTGAAAGTGATACAGGTCATAGTTCCTTCTTTAAGGGGAAAAATTTCCTCTGATCATTATGATGACTGTGACATTATTTTTGCACATAATAGAGAAGACGTGACTTGCGTAAAATTACACATTTATTTCGTGATGTCTCCACAATGTACTGATATATTTGAGAAGAACTTTGACTGGATCATCTGATTGGTATAGGGATGAAAGACAAATTGAACCAACTAGTAGCTTGTTCCCTCGAAGTTTCCCTCAGGATAGCTGGCATCCGAGAGAGAGAGAGAGAGAGCAGTTGCTTCTGCGTGCTGGCCTGCCTCTCCCATCTGCCCCCTTCCCCTTTTGCCTGGGGTGCAGGTTGGTCGTCAGAGGGGTTGGTTGAGGCACGTATTGCCCGCAGACCCTTGGGCACTGTCTCCCAAGCCTCCAGCGATAGGCAAGCCCTGACCAGCATGGGGCCCACCTCATTAACAGTCCTGGCTGTACTGCCACCTCGCTGTGGTCACTTGGACCAGCGTCCAACAGCAAGCTCAGAACTTGTATGGACCAGGTTAAGCCAACTGTCTGATTAAAACAGAGAATCACAATATCTGCAGCTGGGGCACTTATGCGATGTGACTTCTGCCTTGAGCTCTGAATGTCAGAGTGAAGAAATTCAACAAAGTACAGATAAATGGCGGGAGTAAGGTGAGGTCCACTTTCCGTTAAGAGGTAGTCAAACTGGACCTACATGTTGGGCCAGTAAATCCCCCTGCTTCCCCTCAAACTGATGTATTTGTATACTCCCAAGGTTTTGGAGACCATTCGAAGAAAGTTGAGGCCTTCTATAAGAACAAGTTGGAAACAACTGGTTCTGAGTGTGCAGAACTCAAGAACTGTCCTGGCAGTAATATCTCCATGAATGTTTATGGACAGGAGGAATCCAGTGACAATCTCAGAGGTGAGACAGGGCCTCTAAGTAGTGCCAAATGGCAGTGCCAAACGGCAGTGCCCCCAGGCCTGACGGTATTTATACCTTCAAGGATCTCTGAGGCTCTGACCTGTTGGAACTACATGTAGAATGCCTGTTCACCGCATGGATCCCATGTGGGAAGATTCCAGAGGACCTGAAAGGCGCAAGATCCAACTTGCTGCTAAAAGGTTCTGAGGGATTGCACCAAGTAGGAACTGGAGGCTGATCACTATCTCCTCAATAGTGATTCACCGGAATCCTTTCCTTTGCATTAAGTTTGTGTATCTAAGTCTGTAACAGTGTTGGTTTGTAGCAGCCCTAGGGTGCGCTAAGATCATTTTTTCTTGGTAAACACTCTTAAGACTGCAAAAGAACTCCGGGGGCCAATCTCTATGGCTTTTCTTGACCTGTCCAAGGCTTTTGATTTGGTATCACACTGCCACATAGTACAAGAACTAGAGCGGACCAGTCTGGACTCAAACCTTATCGGTCTGATCAGCAACCTTTATGGTGACAGTTACTCGATTAAAAGTAGGGACCGTAGCCACCTGTGCCATATTTTTCAAGAGAGGTGTCAAACAGAGAGCTCTGCTCTCTCGCCCTTGCTATTCAACATAGCAATTACCCCCTTTTAAGACACCTTGAACAAGAAGAAGGGTTCTCCTTCAAGGTCAAAGGTGAAAGATGTCATATCTCAGCCTTGGCATTGCAGATGACATCACAATTGTCGGAAAGTCGAGACAGGACTTGGAGTGCTTGCTCCGAATTGCCAAGGAGTTCTGTGACTCTACTGGGCTAGAGATGAATGTGAAGAAGTGCGGCATGTTTTGCATTCAGCCCTGGGGAAGCATGGTTAATGAGGGGCCTCTTTGGATTGGTGACCAGCCCATCCAATGGATCGAGCTGGCTGAAACTGCTAACTCATCTTCGGGTCGGACCCTGGCTGGTAGTCTGGCCAAACGATCTCTAAGTGTGGCTACCAAGCAAAACTCAAGCTTGCTCAGAAGGCTGATCTGGTCAGTAACAGTGTCACCCCTTGATTGCTGTACCAGGTGGCTGTGGCTATCATTAGCCTTAACACCTTGTGGGCCTTGGACAGCACAACCAGGGTGGCAGTAAAAGGTTGGTTGAACCTCTCCCCCCCCTACCACAAATGGATTGTTATACTCGGCGACATCAGATAGCAGGCTTGGTCTGATGAAGCTAGAGGCAGCCAATCTACCAATGTGGGCAAGGGCCTTCTTGGCAGTTGCCCAGAGTGACAATCATACAATCTCGTGCCTGGGGAAGGTTGAAGTCATGCATTTGTGAAACTCAGGACATGACCTGCATAAGACAGCTTGCCCATCGGAACGTTAGAGGGGGCGAGAATTAGCTGATTTCGAATGGGCAGCCAAAGTGTGTCAGGAATCCCGAGCTGTAGCCTGGAAGGGTGATAAACATGAGTATTTATGCGATCACAGTTGCAATCGCATAAATACTTTTGTGACTCTCCAGATGTACTCAAACATGTACCCTTGTGAGACTTTAAACCATGGGAGACTGGGGATGATGTCATGTCGGGGGTGCGATGCACCAACAGAGTCAGGCCAATGCCTCCAAAGTGCAAGGGGCATGGATTATGAGGCATACGTGCTTGTCGATCAATTGGCCTCTAAGACGCACATGAGGTTCCTTGCAATGACCAATCTGAAGCAGTGAAATGACCATATCTGGTTTTCCAGACATAGTGAAAGACGTATCCATACGTTTGGAATCAGATCTTGACACTCTTCAGAGAGCGTGCGAAGAGAAGGTTGGAAAGTACCAGAGTTGTAAAGATTCACTGAAGGCCATCATTGGTGTGGAGTCGATCAAGTTCACAATCAGGTTGAGGGATGTATGGTGCAATGACAACACTGTGCCTCTCGCAGTGCTAGGAATCACTTGCAAGTACTTGCATTCCTGATTGTGCTGCATGACCTTAGTGAAAACTCTTGACCTCCTGTACACCTTAAACAATGGCAATTAGTCCTTCTGGACTCAGTGAGTCCTTCGTACAGCCTGCAATGGCAGATGGTGCTCCCTTACCTAATCGAGTCACGACAGCAGATAAAAGACAAGAAAAGGCTGGTTCATACTACAGGCAAATGTGAAGGCAATGTGAACTGGACGTCAGAAAAGATTTGCAGCAGAATTTTGCTAGAGTTGAAATGTGTTCAACTTTTGCAAAGTGCAGCTCGAATATTTGTTCTGACATCACAAATTCGCCTTTGTGTTCGCTTTCGTGCAAAGTATGAACCAGCCGTAAGTCTGTTCACCTGCTGCCTTGGCTGTGGGGGATGTAAATAAGACTACAGGGTCACATTGAAGGATTCTCTCCTGACGTGACACTAGTCCACGCGGGACATTAACTGGTGGAAAGCCGAAGCTAGCTTGCTAGTTTTGGAACCGTTAGCCAAATGCCTCGTCATCTAATTAGGGACACACATGAATGGAGGAACGAGATTCCCACTGTCCCTATCAACTATCTAGGGAAACCACAGCCAAGGGAAAAGGCAGAATCAGGGGAAAAGAAGACCGTGTCTAGCTTGACTCTCGTGAAGAGACACTTGGGGTGTAGGATAGGTGGGAGGGCAAAAGCCCAACTTTAAATATCACTACTCTTGTAGTTTCTTTATGATGAAAGTAGCAAAAAGTAGTCTCTTTATACTATAGGTGTGTTATCCTGGTTGTGGTTTCACTGCATAATGACCTTTTCTAATCCTAATGAAATAGTTTCAGAGATAAAATTGATATGTTACACTCGGATGCGGACACTTGAAAACAAAATGAAATTAAATCATGATTATAAATCCTTTAATTTAGGCAATGAATGCAAAAAGCTTAATTAAATCAAACCAAGTGGCTTGAATGTACCACCCATGCATCTTATCAGTACAGGTACACGGTGTTTAAAATGTGCGAAACCTTTGAATGAAAAAATTGAATATTTTTGTCTCTTTCCACAAAACAGAAGTTTTAAAATGTTGATTTAAATCAGTTATTTAAAAAAAAACATTTCATTTAATTGTGATTTAAATCGAGGTGATTTAAATCAGCCAATTGTGGAAACCAGTGTGTAAATCCAAGCTTTCTGAACCAATGAAATGCAGTCCAAATTTAGACATTTCTTCCACCTGGATTGGAAGTGGAGATACACCACTGTCATTTTATTTTGATCCACTATTTGACTATCATCCTCCTTTAGACAGCCACTCTGCCCTTTTTTCCACATTGCGTCTAATTGAGCATTGTCACATTGAGCTCACCAGTTTCACGTACTTGGAAACAGTATCAAGATATTTGATGACTGATCCTGCCAGCAGATTGTGACATCATACCAGATAATAGTTGCAGCATGAGGTTTCTCTAATGCTTTGCAGCTATCTCCTTCCCATGTCATCAATCTGTTCCATTTTTCAGTCTGCACCTGGAGACTATGATACTGGATGTTTCCTCATTGCCAACCTTTCAAACATCATTTCAGGCTGTATACCCGTGTTTCTAAATTTACAGGTTACTTTATCATTTCCCACAAGTAAAATTGTCAGTTGTCACTGCTGGTTAAATTCTCAAATATAAAATTATTTTTCAGTCCATTGTTAATTAAAAGAGATATACAAATATGAACAGTGTTGCTGTTTAGTGCAAAGGAAATTATGTCCTCTTGATTTGGCAACCATATTCATTTTGTGAGAGCAAGACCATTTTGCCCTGCCGGATGTGTAATTTAACACTGTATACTCAGTGTTTGCACGTAAAGGCTTGTAGAAAAAAACATACAGTGAAACGCTGCTATAACGAACACAACAGGGTCCACGCTAAATGGTTCAGTACAGTGGTCATTCGGTATAGCGAAATTTACTGCCGAAAGTTTCGTTGCCAAGTTGAATAGCACCCTCTCTTGTCTAACTGAAGTGCACCCACTTGTGATACTATGGTTCGCTGTTTTCTTGATGTTTTGCTGTTGCATTCACGTTTAAGGTTTTTAAAAATGTATCTGTTATTTATTTTTGTTTCTTATTAAATCTTAAGTTACAAAATTGATTTCAAGTTTATCCTAAAAGTCATGAAGCTACTGCTCAGAAACAATCTCTGATGCATGCTATGGCGAATGTTAGTGCAATGCCACGGTGTACGTGCGGTTTTCTTCCACACCCGATCATGTGGCGTCGCAAAACCAGTGTCCATTCAATACCGTTGGCAGATTAACTGTGCATGCCCTGGCCGTACTAGAAGACGACTTTGAACAAGTGCAGACCAATGTACCCAGTTTCTCAGCTAGTTAATTACAATTAACTCTTCAACAACTGGTTGCTTTCCCTTCTAATCCTTGGGGAAATAATGGCCACTTGTCACTCTCCAACATAAAAAAATCGACTGTTTTGTCAAGTTCACGTTCGGGAACTACAAACACCAACTGCATAGCATTTGGTAGGTTTTGTGCACAAAATATTGGGAGTCAAGGACGATGCTTGGTACAGCCGAATGTTCAGTATAGCAGTGTTTGGTATAGAGGTGTTTGGTATAGCAGCATTCCACTGTACTAAAACTAATATTCACAACAATCATGAAAGCTCATTGGAAAAATTAGAATGAACCAGACTAGAGCTAGTTGTTTTCATTCTTTTCTTTCATTTCTTTGCAGGACAATCATTGCAGGCATGGCAACAGGCAGCATTGTTGCATTCAACGTCAATTTCAGCAAGTGGCACCATGAGTTCAGGGATACCTACTAGATGAGGGAGAGCCATGGACAACTGTCCTGGTGCCCTCTAGAGGACAGTTTCAACAAGCCTGTAGCATGAGGATGTCTGAGAGCCACTATGCAAAACTTAGGAATAAAGCATATAGAACTTGTCAATACACTTGTAAAATCTGAGAGACAGTTGAAATGAAGACTTTTTTCCACAGGCAGAGGCCTAAATTCCAGGTTTATGGAAGTGCTTGGAGGTAACAAAATGGACTCCTTATAAAGTTGGTTTTAACCGTCTACAGGGAAACTCAAATTACCCAAAAGTGGATTGTGAAATTAAATTTAACATACCTAAGAAACTGAGAGTGTTAGTGGATAATACATTTTGCTTGTAAGAATGAGAATTATGAAGTTGATTTAATCTCAAGAAACGTGAAATATTTCTAACAAGGGGTCATGTTATGAAATGATGTGGATTCAAATTGCGCAGTTTTTAAGTCAGTTTTTGATTGGGCTGGATAATCATATCAAGAAAAGATGAGCAGAGGCTCAACCTTCCTTGCAAATTTGATTTGTGAAGTTGTATGTTCTTGGCCTTGTTGGATGAAACTGTTAAGTCAAAATTATTGGGGAAAAGAAAAATAAGCTGCTTAACTTTAACTGAGCTGGAAAGTATACATCTAATGGCATTCTACCATGGTAACCAGAGGCCACTTCTACATATTCTTTAAGACTTGGCAAGGCTATGAAAAATTGGCCCATTGGGTCAAATGTGTTGGGTTTGTCAAATTCCAACAGGTGTGATTGTACAAATGTGTTATGCACATAAATATTGATAGGAGTTTTTCTATATAATAAGTGTATGTACCACTGAGTGTGTAATATGGTAGATAGAGCTCAAGATACCTGGAAATCAGTAGAAAATTATGCAAAATGAAGGAAGAGTTACAATTGTGCAAATAACTAACTGTAAGGGCAACGTAGACAAACCTGACAACGGGTGGAGGGAACATTTTTTGTAAATAGTACATCACTATGATTATGCACAATGTGAGTTCTATTGATGGGATGGTAAGGTTTTTGTGTAAGACTTACAATGCTGAATTCTTTCAGTTCAGTTAGTATCAACCCTTTACCACATTATTGTGACACTCCTACATTTATTTGCTTAAGTACCCCCCCAAAAAACACACACATTCCACATTGGTGTAGAAAACTTTTTTTTTTCATATTTTTTTGTAACTTGTAAATCTGATCTAGACAACAGTTTTTGGGATAATTAGAATTATACTGTCTTAAAGTCCAGCGTACATTAAATACACAATTAACTTCTGTTTAAGTTATGTATTTGAATGTTCATGTTATGAATCTTACAGAATGAAATGCAAAATTTATTTTCAACAAAACCAAACCCAAAATTAATAATGTAGACACAGTCTTGTTTGTACACATGGGAGAACCAACTGAAAAAAATGACAGTTTTTCAAAGATATTAAAATAGTAAGTTAGAACAGTAGATTTTGATAAGTAGATATTTTTCTTTCCTTTTTTTAAGTTTTACCTATGAAAGCAACGTTTGTAATTGTGAAGTTTGCAAGTTGTCAAAAATCTATATCTGAGGTTAACCAAACATTCCAGTAGAGCCTGAAAGACAAAAGATTGGTACACTGGTTCTGTCAAGGTTAAGACTGAAATTGCGGAAAACGTCACTATCACTCGCGCGTTATCCCAACTTCTGCTTTTTTTGATAGATAGAAAGAAATGTATAATTTGCACAGAAGTAAACTATTTTGTCTAGTGGCGTCTATGCATTGCCTGCCAAATTTTGATTCTTTCTGACAAGTTTGTATAGAATCTTTATTTTGAGCACTTGCATCAGATTTGTTTTAAAAAGATGAAGTATGTAAGAAGCACATATAACTTATCAATCAGTTGCTGTGGTAAAATACTTCCTTCTAAACAACTTGCAAAAAGATCGTAAGAGTGACAAAAAGCAAACATTTTGGTGTTAGGAGAAGCCAAATGTAAGGGGAATTAAGTTCATTTTGTTGCTTACTTGTTGAATGGCATATTTGATTGGTGAAAATATTTTGATTTTGCAGGGTATGTTGGGTAAAGTGAGGTTTTTGTGGAAATGCAATGTTTCACAATTATTTCTTGAACATGTGATTGCTGTTGCCAAGTTGAATCACTTTGATTCTGGCTTCACATGCACAAAGTAGGAAATTGTCATTACCTGGAATTGCAAAAGTTATTGAAACAGCAGGGTAGTATGACCCAATGTAAAACAAGCCGCTTTGCCAATAATGCGTGTTGATGGAATGCATTCCCAGTTACCAATTTGGCTGCGGTGGTGGAAATCATAACAATTCTTGCTTTTAAAACATGGAATTACAACTGATTATTTTCTATAAATTTGGAATGAGTTTACAATGTGTATATTTTGGTTCCCGTATAAATTGCTACATGTATTACTTTTATTCCACCACTGCTCTTGTATGCATCATCATCAGAACATTTGTCATCAAAAAATTAGATAGTTGAGCAGTAATTGCTGAAATACCTGCAGGAGTTCACTATCTTTGTTTTTATGAGTAGCATTTCTAAAAAGGCGTTTCTCACTTAAAAAACATAACTGGAGAATAATGGGAGAAGTAGCTTTTTGGTGGGTAAACAAAGAGTTCTTGTGGTGAAAAAGTCACAACTTCAACTTTACCCTAATCATGTATGCTGAATGGATTATAGTACAACCTCTGGAATAATTTGTTGGATTTCATGTATGGACTCTGTTAAGCTTAAAGCTGTTTTCCTTTGGAATTTTTGTTATTACACTGTGCAGTATTTATATTAACAATTCACTACTGCACATATTTCCAAATATCAGATATTAAGAATGCATTTCGTTCAGTCAAGACCATAAGAAAAGTTGTGCATACATATATTATGAGATTAGGTTTTCAGGCTAAAGTGCATCAATTTGAAAACTTACAAGACTTCAATAATACTCAGATAATAGGAAAAAGGTGTGCACGAGAAAATGGTGGTGGCAGTAGCTTCCTAAAAGTAATTTTCCTGGATGTTGTGTAAAGATTAAAAAGGAAAAAGTTCTAATTACAATACACCTGTTAACATTCATGCTAATCTTTAACAGGCATGACATGGTACCAACCAGTTTTGATGAATGGTTTTGAATTTGCACTTTGTAACATTTTATTACACCGTTATACTGCTGTAATATTGTATTCATGGCCTTAACAGAGCCACAGAAATTGTAAACAAGGTCTATGATTAGGCATTAAACTGGTTGGTGACAAATTCACCACAGTGTACATTGGGACAAATTTCTATTGACCTTAGTGTGTGATTTGTGGTGTACATTATCCCCTCCAAAAAGTTCAGAGTCCAATTCAACTCTATGCAATCTTAAAAGACCTGTCTAATACTGGTAGTCCCAAGCCAGCAGCCACCCACTCTTTACCCTTCTTATTAGCTCTCAGACTTACCAGCCCTAAGATTAAAAAAAAAAAATTGCAAGGTGTACCTTTGGCTATTTCCAATACCTAGACTTACAGGCCTCAAATTAAAATGGCAAGGGTTACCCCTTGCTACTCCCAGTACAGACTTTGGCTGAAAAATATTCTAAGTCCAAACAATGGAAGGTTTAACATTTAGAAACGAGCACATTTCTTCAAGAAAGAGCCGTGGCATAGCGGTTAGAGACCCTAACCGCTATGCACAAGGACCTGGGTTCAATTCCAGGTGGGCATGCACNNNNTCAGCAAGCTAGACCACCAGGCCACAGGCCTCTTAATAAATTGTGCTCGGAACTAATATTTAAAGGTTAGGATTGCGCAACTGTAAAAAATTAATATGCATAACTTATCTACATATTATGTAAATCAACATAAATTTGAATATGCAAATACAAGGGTCAAATTAATAGTACTGCAAGCAAAGAGGGGTTGATGCACTATTCAAAGCATATTTAAAAAAGCAGCAACTGCACTCTTCACATTTTGATAAATCCGTCAAATGCACTGCTACAAATTTTCAATATTCCAGTGTTTTTCTCATGTGGTTTGCAACTGTGGTGCCTCAGCAAGCAATGGAGAAGATCCAAATAAATATAAATCAAAATCATGGAAACAGTGAAATTCAATTTCACAAAGCAACTCATGTATTTCATTACAAGAATTCACAAATAACAGGAAAAACACTAATTTCTTGTGACAAATCTATCAATTACAGATCGATTTTAGCCTCATTTTACAAACTAGACACCGACAGTGTTGTACTTTATACAAGACGGTACCACATTTCTGCCCATAAAGAATCTTCCTTCAGAGGCACAGTGATTACAAATAACAAATTTTGGATAAGCAACACATTAGCATTACATTTAGGTATGAGAGCTGAAAGGAATCAGTATCAAGCTCGAGTCGTAACTTATCCCTCAATTTACCAGAAGCAGAGAAGTCAGCCATTTCATGGATATTTCTGCAGATGCTTCATGACTTTTCATGCGAATCCAATTGGATCCATAAAGGTGTCATTTTTGTAAAGCAAGTTCTTCCAAACCAGATGCATAACATTTAATGCTATTACTATAGCTGAAGGAGTATTGTACAAAACTGTATTGGCTACTATAGTGAAACCACTTCAAGAATAAGGCAGATCAGATTAACCATAAGTAGAAATGTGATACCATCTCATTAAACACTGAATACATTTTCCTGAATATTAGCACAGCTACTACGCCATCATTACAAGGCCACATTTTGACAGCCATTAATAAGTTACACATAGCATACTTGACATGTATGTGACACAGCCCAACAAAATGAGTCACAAATCACAACAGCCCCTTTTTAGTTACAGGCACTTTAAAACATCATACAAAATCAGAAACACACAGAAATTGTCAGGGTGTTCAATGTCCATTTTCACTATGACTTCAAACTTAGCATTATATCAAAATTAGGAACTAAATATGTTATTCACGGTTTACATTTATGGTGGTAAACTCTCAAGGCTCATTTTGTAGGAACATGTCACATATTCTGAATACATGTCTTTTTTTGCCACAAGCAGAAGTATTTTAACCAACTACTTTCATAAGTACACCACAATGCATTTTATGCTACATGTAGTTATACACCCATACAGTGACGTATATTACAATAATCTCCATAGTAACATTCATTGTATCCATCACAATGATACCTAATACATTTACATTTGCATGTATATTTCATTAACAAGAACAAAGAACACCATAACACCGGAAACCTGCAGTAGTGAAACCAAAACTAACTCATCTGGACTGAAAATGAAGAAAAAAATAATAAACACTCTCCTGAAAGCAGATGCATAAACAGAACAAACACAAATTTCAACTTCCTTTGTTATCTGAAAGTTAATGCACACCAAAAACCAGAAAAATAGTGCATTACCAGACAATATATGTGCAACTCCTAGGTAATGTCACGAGTGTTCATACATACATGTAAGTGCTTACCAATTACAATGATCAACTGTCTGAATTCAATTTAACACTTCACAAACTCATCCGTTTCTCCATGTGCATTTTGAGTGTCATCTAATATTGAAAGAATAATTCTTAGTCCAAATTATCTCTATAAAGCTGCACAGATGTTAACAGTACTCAGAACAAGATTACAAATGTTAAAAAAGTACTTATTAAATATATTGCAACAGTTGAGAGATCAAGTGTCGTTATCTGATACACATAAAGCACATAAATCAGTTACACACTAAAGAATACAAAACTCCATCACAGAGACTTGTAACAAAAGACAACAAAAATGTCTGATCATTTCTCAAACTTGGTTAATTAAGGCTTCAACTTTTGCAAGATTTTGATTTAAATTTGACCAGTCCAATTTCTTCAACTTCTTCAGGTTCTATTTCATTGAGAAGAATATGCTGCTTGGAAAATAAAACCCAGAGCAAATCAATCTGTAACAATTCACATGAATTTTGGGCTACTCAAGAGTCTTCTGGGGAGACTAAGCACAATCTTTATGTTTTGATTTTGTGACGTTTTCTTCGTAGAAATGTGGATAAATACCAGCTTAATCCAATTCAATCCATGATCTCTCCCATAATGCGCAACAAACAGGACCAATTTCAAGCAGAAGTGTTCTTTGGCCTTGATCCCAAGCTGCCAATGCCAAGTTTGAGAAACAATTTTTGATTGTTGTTACATGTACATGTAATGCACATTTCATCCATGAAAATGGGGCAAAATGCGAACAAATTTATTGTGAACACAACAGTCAAGGTAGGTTAACATGGGTTACAATTTTAATAGGAAGTCTACTTCTTTAATTTCCTTGCTGAATAATAATTTAGGTTAACTTTAATTTTAAAAATTAAACTGTAACAAAGCATGGTGAAATATTATGCACTTCTTACTCAAAAAAGTAGAAAAATGCATAGAAGTGTAACAAACATGATATGAGTTTGTTGCATTGTAGGATATTTAGCACAGAATCCTTCAGATGAATGAAGTAGTATTTTGCAAGGCATCTTATAAAGACACTGCAACTGCACTGACTGCTGTAATGCTGAAGATAAATTGTTGGTCATGAGTAGTAGCATCTGACATCGGCAGTTCTGACTCATTAGACATGAGTAATGCTTCTACAGTTTAACTATGGAATTATTCACACTAACCACAACATCCACACGAAGCTACCCTGACACAACTTCAGGCTACCTCAGCCTTCATTTCATCAGGGTCATGGTTAGACATTCAACTTTGGGCTGAATACAAGCTGACTGCAAGACCTGTGACTCAAATGATGTGTTACTTAAACCTTGTTAATTGTTACAGCCTTGTAATAAAGCTGCCTATATTTTAATAGTTAAATCTGATCCATATCATCAGACCACTTATGTAAGTTTTTCTCAGTTGTCCCATCCCTCACATGTTTAACGTGCATTCTAATGACCAACAAGTCGAGCAATTCACTATAAAATGTTTGAAATTTTAATATGACAAAAAAATGACCAAGACCAAAATTCATGTTCTTCAGTCTGTTCTGACGGCTGCAGGCTATAATTATCAGCTACAACAAAAGCAGTCACTGGACGAGGCACAAAACCAGATAACATAGAAATACAGGCAGACTTTCTCTTTAATGAGAGAGGTTCTGAGAGGTCTACCACATACCCTGATACAGATGATGAGGCACAGTAGATTGACGGAACAAAATGATCATTGCATATTGATCTGTGTAAACACATGCAATGACTGTGAAGACATGACCCATAATTCACAATAGCCACTATGCTGGGAAAACAGAACATATTTCTTTATACACACTCTAGCCTTACTGCAGTAGAATAACGGGTGTTTGGAAGAAAAAAAATTGCGTACACTATAGCTTTGGGCAGTTACAGCAAACTTCTGTAGAAAAGTGAATTGCTAGACAAGATGTCTATTACCTCTGCCAAATTTAGGTTTCGGCCAAACATGTTGCTCTGTGAGTGCATGAACTATACTGACTACTCAGGTTTCCATTCAAAAAGTGCTGAATGTACATGTGTCGATGCGACCAATGCAACAAACAAAAAAAGTTCAACCAAAATGTAAATCTTTACACACTGAAAAAAAAAGCTGAAATGCTGAATTTCAAAGCGGGCATTTTCACACCTTGCTTTTGACAACCACAATTAAAACAAGGCCTAACAACAGCAATACCAACAGCAAGCCCAGAGTGTCTCCCTCTGTCACCAACCTATAGATCAACCAGCAATATCGCAGAGCTACTCACCAAACAAACTTGCCAAGTACTGGTGAAAATGGTGCGGGAACAGCATACTGGCCTCCTAAGTCACACACTAATGCTACTTTTCACTAATCTGATAAATATTGCTGAACATGTAAATTTGCTCAAATAAGTTTGCTGTTTGATTTATAGTTCTGTGATACTAGCAGATAAGGCATGGATCTACTGCCAAGAAGTTGAGTCAAATGGAAATGACTAGAAGATTCCAGATTCTTTGCCACCAGGGGGCTGCCTCTTCATGGGGGCCCTGCTCTCCACTCTGCCACCTGCTGCTGGCATGCTGGCTGGGTCAATCTTCTGTGGTTTGGCCCGGACCCTGGTACCACCAGGGGAGGCTTCCACTTCTGCTGGGCCTGTTCTGTTGGGTTCACCTGTCACTGGGTTGTGTCCCACTGTAAGAGAGAGGAGAAAATAATGATGTTAGGCTTTATGCTCATACAGCGCATGTCTCATGTTAAGGGGATTTTTGTGGCAGAGGCTTACCAAGGTGAAATGACTTCAAATTGCTTCAGGTACTGAAATATCATTTAGCTTCTGGTGATGTACATGAAACAGGCTCTGAAACTTTACACAAGTTAAAATGATTTTGTGCAACAACATGTATACAGGCCGATGTCACTGAACAAAGGACTGTGTAGGGATCTAATGCTAATGATTTGGGCTATCACACTGGTGAATGTATCTACACTGTGTGCATCCATGCCGCACGGTTCAAGGTTTCACATACATAAAGTACACATACCGGAATGGTAAGGTTTTTCCTAAAGCTTTTAATGTCGGACTACTGCCAGTAACATTTAACAATTGTTGACTGCTGAGGTGTGGGATACAATGATTTGAACACCTGAGCAACGCATTGCACCCCTATGCAAAGTTGAGGGCGCTATGTGTGCCCGAGGCTGTTCAAATCGTCATATCTCACACCAAAGCAGTCAACAATTGTTTTTTCGTATCTGTCTTGAGGAATTTATCTAAAGAAACAAGCTCTGAATTTCAGACGATAGGCGTACTGTCAAACTGTATAATTAACACAACAGACATAAACGATATAGCCTGCAAATGCACTGTTCCCTCACGATCTTTAATTTTGTAAACTTTAATTTGAAACTAGTGTGGGTACTAGTAGGTACATGTAATCTGGTTAGCGGTTCCCGCATTACCTTACAAGCTGCAGGGACAGGAACGAGTCTGTTATACGAGCGCAATCATTGATCGAATTCCCTGATAGCCTATGCACGAAACATATAATGGGTTCCATTCAAATCTGACTAAAGGAGTGTAAATGTTAACTCTCGAACTTCCCAACTTCTGTCTTGAACACGTGCAAGAATGCCATGTTCATCCTTCTTTTCCGGTATTAGAACCACCCGAGCCAAAAGTGGTGAAGGATGGGAGGGAGCCAACTGTCTGGGGTACGTATTCAATAGCAGAATGAGATAAGTCAAGGCAAGTGTGACATGTGGATAAACATGTATCCCCCTGTCATGTGATCATTCTGGGCCAATAAACGGACAGTATCCAAGACGGAGGTATGACAATAATTGATTTTGCATATGCCCTAGGAGTTGGGATTACCAACTCACAGCTTAACTCACTGCAGACTTGCATCAAGACAACAGCAGACTGTGCAGTGATAGGAATCACCCATAACTTGCAAGTTGGTTGGGTATTGGTTGGCCATATTTATTATTATAATTTTCTTCATGATGAGACAGTGGTTCTTACATGAAACTTGGGGGACATGTACAACTCATTTCTAGCAACACCATACACACTGTAAATATACACGTTGGATCTACTCCATCAATGAGATGTACATCTTTCAGCCACTAGGGGTTACAGGTGTGTGTTATAACCATTATCCATCTAAGGAAACATTTATACACCCATTGTTATTTCAACGTAAATACTATATCCGTAAGAGCTAAAGTCAAATGAGGAAACCAATAGAAAACCAAACAACCCAGGAACTGTGTTTTTTGAGAAGTTTGAAAAATAGCAACAATTAAAGCCCATTAGTATTAACACTGTGTTAGTTATCATAGTTGGTTGTTAACTAAAAAAAAAGCAAGAGCAGCTCAAATAGACAAAGCGGCTGTCAGATATTTGCTGAATATTTACAAAGAATTATGAGAACTTGATAACATGGGATACTTAATGTTCGATCTGTCATGTGCTCGTCATGAGATGTGTTCCTTTCTTACAAATATGCAACTGGATTGTGCCGATTCTGTTGAAACTTTGTTACATTCACAAGCAAAGCAGTATTGGTGATTAATGTGTCCTTCCCTATCCTGTTAAGAGATTTTTCGTTCCTTTGATGTGAAAAGTCCAAGTGGGAACAGATGGAAAGTTTCTGTAAAGGAATGTTCACAGACAATTACAGTAGGTTTCCAGAAAAACACACAAATCCAGAAAGGAAATGGCTCCAAAACAACTCAAGGTGACCAAGATTGAGCGCCAACATGATTTGTTCTATTTCTGTATATAGCTAAAACCTTTGTATACAAGTAGTTGGCCAAGCGCAGTATTTCTGTCAAACTGGGGCTGGATGCAACTAAAAAAGCTGAGGAAACTGAGTGGGAACAAACACAAAAACTAACGCGGTGCTCTTGGGCAGAACTGGAAAATCAAAGTTTAAAAAGAGACACCTAAGCTTTTCGTGTTTAATCCTGAAATAAACATTCCCATTTAACGAACAATGAAATGAATTCAAATCATTTCCTAAAGACATCTGACTAACTAGAACTATGAAACTATAGCATAAGGACACCACAATAAACATGTAGCTCAGTAAAGCATATAAAACAGTAAACCACAGATAAGCATGGTGGGATACGCACACTGCTATATTCTGGGGTCTAGGTGTGTCAAGGAATTTCATTTGTCAAAACACTGCACTAAAGCTACCACAAGGAAAACTACATGGAACATAATCATTGGATTTAGAAAGTTTCCATGAACAAAACAGGCAAATATTTCTTTCTCGCTCACACATAACATACTACCAAAGTTAACAGTTCAAGTAATGCTTGCAGCGGCATCAGGCTAGCAATGAAATGTTTCCCCTTCAATGCAGCTGTTTGACCCATGTTCAAAGCCTACCCAAGCTTCATGTGGACCCCCTTTTCAGCACCTTCTTGACAGAAAACTTTTCCAGCGAACATTCACTTTGATTTTCTTCATGCCTTTGTTTTTACCAGCTCTCTCCAAATTTTTCAAAAGATCTTGACAGAATTGCCCAAATGAACTTTTGCAGAATGATTAGTTTTTTCATGAACAAGATTCATTGTAACTTATTTTAACATTAGTTAAAGAACCCTCTTATTTGGAACAAACACCGTTTTCAGAGCTCCTCAAAAGAAAAAATGAGGGTTAAAACTGCATGAACATGTGTCATAATGTGAATGATGTACACAGCAACTTGCCAGTTTAGAAAGGGAAACTGTGAGCAGTTATTGTAAATATGAATATTAGGAAATAAGAAAATGAACTGCGAACAGGAATATTTTAATGATACAGAAAACAACCCACCCCCTCAAAAAAGTTTATCAAATCCAAATTTCTGTAAACAAAACCAAAAGAAAATTCAAAACAGCAACAGACAAAAGATCAATTTGGCCATACATGGATCAAAAAGAAGAAAAGCCTAAAAACTGAAGAACAGTCTAATCTCAAAACCAAATAAAACAAATGCCAGAAATTTTAGAGATTTTTTCTAATTGTATCAATTCTCCAGGAGGCTTTAATAAACCAGGTGCCCACTGTTTTGTTCACCTCAAACTTTCTAAGTGTTGCTTGGTCTGTTAGCAAGTATGACCATCAAAGTCACAGCAAAATGTTTTAGCTCAGTGATATTTGAAACTGGTAACATTTACTGCACACAAGCTGGGCAGACAATTTTAAAATTGTAGACAAAAAACCCCTGAAAATTAGAACCACCAAACGAACACAACAAACTTTAAAAATGTGCTGCAAGTAGCTATGGAAACTGGAAAGAACTACTCAATAGAAATTCTCATTGGAAGAGCATCAAACGAACAGCAAGTTCTGGAAAATGATACAACAAACAGCAAGATGAAGTAATCAGCAACTCTGGAAATCAAGACAGTGCTTCTTCAGTCGATACATACGGTCTGTCTGGTCAGGAAAGCGTCTCTTGCCACGAGGCAGATTATTGGGTTGCTTGGAGAGGTAGTCCTCCCCGAAGATATTAGCAAAGCTATCTTCTACATTGCAAATGGTACACGTACATATGCATAATATTCCATTGAAAGAGACATACATGTAAGCTTCACAAAATCATCTAATAAATAGAGTGCACACTTACAAAATTTCATAAAAATGAAGATTTAAGTTTTTCTTTTTATACTGCACAGTTGATATCTTCACTTACTTGTATTAAGGCATATTCTGTGGCAATGCTACTCTTTACTTTCACCCCGTTTTTAAATTGACATTTCCTACATGGTCTTTAATTCCTGATAAATGTAAGAAAGATGCATTTTTTAAAATGCCACTAGATTTCAATCCAGCCAGAGAAAGATACAGATATGATCTGTGAAATGGAAACCTTGGCTCTGTTGGTGACTGGGTAGGACAAAGGTACTAAGTCAGGGCTCGCAGAATCAGTAGTCCGACGTCCCGGGACAACCAAAATATTTTGTCGGGCAACCAAATGTTCCAGGCTGTTCCAAGCACCTGTTTTCGGTAAAACTTTGCTGAATCACAAAAAAAGACCGCAAAAAGATCGACATCCTAACCTTGATGTTGCACAACTGTACATGTTCGGGTAGGTGCACCGTGGTACGTACGGTCGAATCATTGGCATGAACAATGCAGCCGCGTCTGTATTCAGTCATTTTTCTTGTTTCGGATCCCTAAAACTATATTCAGTCATATTACAGCTCAATTATCATCAAATTCCAATGAAATGGGGTCAGGGGGTCTACCTTGTACATGTATATTTTCAAATTTTGAGCTTTTAATTTGTCTTACAAGATCGACAAAAGTGACGACACTTTTCCTAGTTCCGAATCAGTTTAGCCAGTTCTGAATCGCTACACATAAAAAGTAGTCAAGCGTTAACCCATTTCTCTGGCAAAACCATTGTTACAAGCATATTTTCGAGTAAAGCAATTCTTATTTCAAATGGGATTAGTTAATTTCAGTGCATCAACATGGATAGCCTGCATAAATTTTGACTTGACTTTGCTGCTCAGCGAGCCGCTGACCACAAATCCCCCCACGCCGCAAAGTTGACGAACCCATTAAGTCACATACAAATCTGTTACGCATGTGTAGTTGAGTTCATGACGTTCGTACATATAGGCCTACTTGCATGCGCGATCCGAAACTAGGAAAAACGTTCATGGAATCTTGCGTACTGAGTGACCCCACTGACCTGTAATTTTTTCTGGTGTTGATTTTTTTGTGCTCCCATGTTTTTTGACAAACCGTCAACAAACGTCGAAGCGCGAATTAGAATTTAGCCATAATTCCTTTTCTTGAAATTTTCTGGGAGTAAAATTTGTACTGCACTACTTCTATTTCAACTGTCAAAAAAGAAAGTCGTCTTAGCGTGTAATGCTGCAGAGCAATAGCAAAAAGGTGGGTAGGCCTAGGCCTATTCATTTCAAGTGATCGGGAACTGGGAACATGACTAATTACTGAAAGCTGGGAGACCACATGTGGCTAAAACTTCCTTGTCGGGCAACTGAAAATGAAGTTCGGGCAACCTACATTTCTAAAATTTTGCAAGCCCTGTAGGTCCTAATGGAACCACTATAAACTATGAATAGATGATACAGACCAAGTTATGGTTGCTGGGAAATGCTATTTTAAATGACAGGATTTTTGCATATGTGTAAAACAGTATTATGAGTAAAGAAGAATATCTAAGATCTGACCAGTCAAGGACAAACAAACATAGTAAGTCTTGTTCAGGCTCAACAAAATAATAATTGTGCTTCCTATTGCATTGAAAAAAATAAGTTGGGAAGGAGGTTAGCATCTTTTTTTTTCTTCTAAATTTTTTGGGTCAAAAATTTTAGGGTGGGAAATTCCTTATTTCGTTTTATTAAATGTGATGGTTCTTGAACATTTTTCAGCTACATAAGACAGGTTTTGATTCAAATATGACAAGCAGCAAAACCAAAATGTAATATCTATGATCAAGTGGTTTAAAATGTCTGTAGAAGAAACAGGTTGAGTTTGAATAACTCAGACGGAAACTATTATCTCCAAGTGTCTGCAAAAACATGCCTTTATCTACAAAATCATGCCCTTATTTACATGAAACTCCACCCCCATAGAAATGTGGGTGAGGTCTGCTATTGAATACCTACCCAAAGCAGTCGCTAAATATGCAAATTCCTTTGCATCTGATTCTATTCTATAAAATCTTGATGAACCGTAGTACATCCTCTAGTCCCATGATGCATAGCGGAGCCACCACCATGTTTGTCCTTTTCCGGTATTAGAACCACCTGATCCAGAAGTGGGGAAGGATGGGAGGGAGCCGATTGTCTGGGGTAGGTATTCAATAGCAGACCTCACCCACATTCCTGTGGGGGAGGAGTCTTCTGCTTTCATCCTACCCCAAATTGTCGTTAAATATGCAGAGTAGCATCGTTCTCTTGGCGGGGGGTGCAGCGACGATAAAAGTGTGTGCTAGAGAAACATATAGGCCTCAAGGACTTACCAAACAATGGAGTTGTTAGGTAGTTCCTGTGGTGGACTGCCCCTATGAGGAGTCCTTCTATATTGATGTGGCCGGTGTAAGTGCAGCCCTGCCATGTGAAGTGTCCTTTTGCAAGACATCCGTGAGGTAGCATGTGGTCAACGTAGATGGAGTCTTCCAGCATGCTGCCTTGCATATCTCCTTCATCGGCATGCCCCGGAAGTAGGCCCATGAGGTCAAAACTGCCCGTATATCATGGGCCCTGATGAGCCATTGAGTTTGGTTGTCCAAAGAGTTCGGCCGAACCGGGTTGGCAAATTTGATGGCCGAACTTGCCCACCTGGCTATAGTGTCTTTGGTCGCAGCTCAGTAAGGCTTTATGGTAGTTATGAAAAACTATGATGTCATACCTCTGAGCTTTCTGGTTCTGGCTTGGTACCATTGAAGAGTTTGAATTGGGCACCATGGCTTGTCGTCTGGGGTCCCAGTGTGCTACGTAATGTCAAGTACAAATACATGTATATCAGGAGGGTGGAAGGAGACTGACAGGTTCTTAGTGAGGAATCCCAAAGCCTGAATGAGACGAACACCATGGGGTTCCCATCGGATATGGTTGTCAGCGAAGGACAGATGCTTCACAGAAAAGCTGAAAGGGAGGACCAGCGAGCAGTTTAAGGACAGCTGACAGGTCCCAGGAAGGGACTAGTCTCTTGGTAGAAGGGCGCTCAAGAACATTCCCTATAGAAGGTGTCTACAGCCACGATGGCTGACTGCTAGTTGCAGATGGTTGATACTTGTAAATCTGATTTGAACAGACGCGTTAACAAATTCATTCACAGTAGTCACAAGAACATAGGTCGGAGCAAGGCTTCGCTCTGTGCAACACAAAGTAAAATGTTGTAATCTGGCATCGTCGATGCTGCACGTAGATTGGAGTCAACTCTTTGAGGCCATCTCAGCAGCTTCATCAGAAAGTCCTGCTGACCAGAAAGATATGTTTGACAATGGCCAGCAGGTCAGGTGTAGGGATGCTGGATGAGGGTAAAGAACGCCCAACTTCGGTTGGTGGAGTAGATCCGGTCTTGTGGGAAGAACAATGACTGCTCTTACAAAAAGACTGGTTAGACATGGGAACCGTGGCTGCCGCAGCTAGAAGGGAGCAATGAGAAGAACTGGACACCACTCCTGTTCGATCTTGGACAGCACTACTGGTATCATAAATATTGAAGGGAAGGCATAGGCCAACATCCCTTCCCAGCTTATCTGAAGAGCGTTCATTGCCCAAGCCTGGGGGTGGTAATATCTTGTGGTAAAACATTGGCTGTTGAGCATTCTATGCCCAAACCAACAGGTCGATGATTGGTTTTGCCACTGGGTCTCCAACCGTTGAGTTCTTTCTTTGGGGTGAGGTAGACCATTGAGATGTAGCCCTCATTTGTCTGAGACGGGAACAGGGCGGATGTCCCACTTTTGCAAGAGAGAGCATATCTCTGACTCCAGCGCCTGTCCCTTGTTTCTGTCGGGAAGGAACTAGAGTCGGACGGAGAATAGGTACAGATGGAGAGCTGAGTATCCATGGCGAACGGTCCCAAGTATCCAGCTGTCTGATGTGACTTTTCCCCAAGACCCTGTGAAATCTTAGTAGTCATCCGCGTCAACCCTTGAATGATCGAGGGTAGTGCGATTCGGTAGCTTTCCCCTTGTGCATGTATCTCTTCTGAGGCGATTTGGCGGACTGAGGAGGAATGGCCATGGTTCGTCTGGTGAATGGACTGACGAAAGGGCAGAAATGAGCCAGAGTCCCCATGCTGTGGAGGTCTGAAGGGTCAAGCCCAGCGGTCATCTACATGGGACTAGCAAAGAGCCAGCAGAGGAGGTTCAAGAAAACTAAGCTTGTAGGTCATGTTGACCAACTTAGCTTCAGCCTTGATCATCTCCATAAACTTTCCGGCAAAAAGGTCTTTGCCGTTACTAGAGCGGGAGATCCCGAAGTCTCGGTTTGACTCCCTCATAGGATAAGTGGTTAGAACAGTCAGGAGACTGCGACGACGGACACCTGATGACGGACAGGGCATACTGTCCAAAACGTTGAGTACCACCGGTTCTTTTCAAAACCTCACATACTCAAAAAAGAGATGTGTCCATGGTGCTACTGCAAACCTATCTAGTTTACTTGCTACCTCCAACATGAAGAGCTTCATATCTCATCGGACTTCTGAGCATCAGAAGATAATTTATCTTTAGCTGCAGTAGGAATCTCAGGGATGGAGAGAAAATTTTCAAAATCCTCCCTTGAAAACTGGAAATAAGTCGATGCTCTGAGGGGCTATGCCAGAACATATGAGTGGTCAAGCGGGAGTTCCATGAAAAGTGAAGCGAATGCCTCCAATCTGGCAGGGTAGTGCTTGAAGGAGGCATGTGATGAGGCCTCAGCCCTAGAAGGATTGGGGATTGAAAGGAGATCATATCTCCTTGGAGAAGACAGAGACTTGCCTCCGGAGGGATAAGGTTGGCTACAGAGGTAATATCTTCGTCTTTAGACGAAGTATCCCGTTCCTCTTGAAGCTGATCGTCACGTGTGGCAGAGTAACCGGGAGCTGGAGCACAACGTAAGCAGTAGTGCATACCAGAACCGGATCTGGAGCAGTCATTGGGGGTGTAGGGTTAGACTCAAGGCAGCCGGCCATTGAGGAAAGCGTCCCCGAGAGTGTGCAGACCACTGACATGATATCGTGTGAAAAAAGGTCATGCCGTGGGAAGGAGCGAGACTTCTTATGCTTGGACCCCGCGGGACAACACAAAGAGTACTTGCAGTTTATGCGCATGGGTGAACCAAGCCAGGGCATAGGAGGTAGATCAAAGGGGTGGGGGCATGTCCCCGAGGTCAGCATCATGTCGACATTGATCCAGTAACCTGTCACCAAACTTCAAATTGGAGCGAAGTTGCTATCGATTTTTGGATGCAGAAGTTTGAAACCCACACATATGCAAGTTATCACTCTACTCAATAAACCTCATTGTTTTACTTGCTGAAATGCGAGTGCATTTCCAAAATTCCAAGGCGAACGCTCCTCCCCACCCTCCAGCATGTTGTCTGCCGCCATGACACAAGCAAGCACAACCTGCACGCACAACGTGCGTGTGACATGCGAGCGAGCACAATACCATAGTCTGGGCCCAAACTGGTTTTGCATTTAATACCAATGATAGTTTACGTACGGCAAGCAGATGAAATGCACAAGCAAAGCAGCAACGCACAATGGAGGGCGTCAAGTGAAACTCTGAAGGCGCCCCATATCATGCGTGTGGCATGCGGTTGCACGGCGCTTGATCACGACTAAAATCGTCGATGACTAACGTTACTGCTAGAAATTAACTAAAGAGAAAACGTCAATTTTCACGCAAAAAAAAAGGAAAAATCTCAAACAACTACAAAGCTTTGTGCATAAAAATAAGCACGAGGCTCGGCAACAGTATTTTTTATTTTTACCTTTTTTTTCCAATAAAGAGATTTAGGGTAGGGGCAATTTGCTAGGTTAGGGCGGGTAAACCAGAAGCACAACTGTTATTTTGTTTGGCCTGATACACAATGTAGGTTTCTTTCTTCTGAATTACCAGTAGCACCATGACAAAGACAGGATTTGTAATTGTCATTTACTAGTAAATGGCCAAGGTACATAGGATTACGTATCTTAAGATTAAAGCTTTGTTCTAATGATCCTGAATCATGAATTTCTTTAACACAGCAAATTTCTCCTTATGAGACACATGATTATAACCAAAAAGCCCATGACGCTGCTATTTGTGCCTGTCATAATGGTTTCCTTTTCTGCAAGTACAGTATTGAATTGTCCTGTGTAAACTCACCCCCGGTTTTTGAGAATGGAACAGCCAGATTAAGAGTTTTCTATGGAGCTCAAAGTAGTTTATTATGCAAATTAGAAATGCAAATTTGAGTATGCTCCACTGATTCAGATGGGGAGTGCAGTGTGGATCTATGTATTGGGGGGCAGACACACCCAAGCTTTCTGTGTGAACGCCATGCTTGGGCGGATGCCTCGTTCAGTGTGAATGCCATGCTTGGGTGGATGCCTCGTTCTGTGTGAACGCCATGCTTGGGCGGACGCCTCGTTGTGTGTGAACGCCATGCTTGGGCGGATGCCTCGTTCTGTGTGAACGCCATGCTTTGATGGACCCCTTGTTCTGTGTGAACGCCCGCTCTGTGTGGACCCTCATTCCTTTGTATGAACACCAGACTCTGGCTGGATCCTCGTTCTGTGTGAATGCCCCGCACTGTGTGGACCCCCCCCCCATTCTGTGGGAACGCCCAGGTATGTGTGGACCCTTATTCTCTGTGACCAGCCTGAGACTGGGAACAACCCCAACTCTTGGAGGACTCTGGTGCTGAGTGATTGTTCATTGCCCCGGGGGCACCGTTTCTAGAAGGCCAGCAACATTTAGCACCTGGGGAGAAGTATATAGTGTCGGCTGAACCATTGTATTAGCTGATATCTGTTGAATGACGTTTATGTAAATTTAAGATTGGAGGTAATTGTAAATATATTCATGTATTACCTTTTGAATTGAATTAAATTATTATATTTTGTTATTGTATTTGCAAACTTTGAGTATGGTTTTGTGGCTAGACTTGTCCTTGTCGTGTGGCACCCTAGTTTCAACTATTCACTGTAACATCGCACACGGGAAGTACAGACTCGTGATGTGACAGTGCCTTTTGTAAAACTGTAATAAATATTTTGAGGCCTAGCAAGTCATGACATCAATCAAAATAAAACAATCAGCAAGATCTCAAGAAAATAAACAACACGATTACAGAGAGACATGGTAGTGATGCCATCCTCAAAAACACAATATTACCTGCTGGTCTGATGGGTTGAGGAGGAGAAGGTTTATACAGGTCCTTCTCTGCCTGTTTCTGTGCCTCTTGCTTTTCTGCTTCTGCTACTTCAGTGCTCTGTTTCCTCGTGGCTGGTGCCGTGTCTTCCTCATAACCTCCTAGGCTGACATTGGTCTTACCACCCGGAGGAGCCAACACCCTGATAGAATAATACAGACAATCTTAATACTGTGTATTCTTGAAGAAACTAACTTTTCCACATGTAATGATTTGAAGCTTTGTGTTCTGAATTTAATCAGGTAAAGATCGATGGTGGAAAGCACTCGTGGAAAATGTAATTACTGCAAGAACATCACTATGTTAAATCTCAAACAACTAATACTGAGTATAACTGATAAATTATAATGAACAGAATTGTAGGAGCAGTGTTGGAAGATATCAATATAAACTTTATTAAGGCAAATATTACACCTTATTAACCCTAACCCTCCTCAATCCTTCACCTGTTGGAGGACTGAGGAGTGTTAGGGTTAAGAAAGGTCTTTTAGAAACAATTTGTAAAAAAGACATAATTTGCAAACTCCGAACATTTCTTGAGGAAAGTGGAATTGAAGTCAGAGCTGCTTCTGATGAAAACTTGACAACTTTAATACTCCAACAACGTACTCATGGAATTTCACTCTTATGTTAAAGTGGAATAGTCCTTTTGTTCAGGCAAACATGCAAATGCTCTGAAGGAGAATGTTCCTGACTTGAGACACTCCCCCAAGTATCACAAATGAGACAGCCCAATATTTCCTTTGGTAATCAAGGTTTGGGCTAAAATGCCTTGGCCACTAGGCAAAGGTAGTAGTCCCCCTTGACCATCATGCACTTGGGGGTCTCCCTCAGCCACCATGCACTGGTAGGGGTCTCCCTCAGCCACCATGCACTGGTAGGGGTCACCCT